CTCTTCCGATCTTATCTTTTTTCATGCTACTCGAGCACCTGATTCATCGGGAAACCTCTAGTTCGAACTTGCCAGTTGTCTAGTTATATCCTTCAGCTTTTTTGAAGTACTCCTCTGCTGTTCTGGTAAATACGTAGGTTATTCCCGGACAGATTGTACTCGAGCGATTTCTGTAGTCGAGTGTCCTACTGGGAGCATTTGCAAGCACGTTTTTATGGTAGCATATGGAGTGAGAATGTAATCGTTTCTACTATTTTGGGCAATACATAGAGATTTATTTTTCGAATCAGGTACTAGCTGGACTTTGCAAAACCTATATTTGGGGGAGCTTCCATACACAGTCACGTTCTGTCCTTTAGTGAACAGGGCGAATTTTCCTAGCTTTTATGATTACTATTATTACGGTTCATTGTTAATAATACATGTTATTATTTTCTCTGGTTCAGAGTAAGCTCGAGAATGTTAAGTTGTCTATTAAAAATTGGAAAGTGTAATTTTCAGTGAGTTGTTGTTGCAGCGAAGTTTTTTCGAAAATCCGCGAAAATCTGGTGCGACTTGTCAGATCAGTGCTGCCCGTGGGGCTCAGGATATCTTTCAACCGCTAAGCGTATTTCCTGCTTCCTTTTTTCTTCTTTTCCTTCATTCTTTCTCTACACGCTCGTTCTTTTCCTTCTTCCTTCAAATGGTTGGCCGAAACATGGGGAAATACCTCTGGACCCTCGCAGCGAGAGGATATCCGGTTGACACAAGTCTCATACTTCTGTGTTCTGTCATATGTTCTCGACCGAATTTGAAGGTTTTTTGGTGGTTTTTAGGAGTCTTACTTGTTTTCGAGACTGATGACTTACTCATACACTTACCATTCTTCCCAGGCGTCCTGCTGAGCTTTTCCTTTTATATTTAGCCTTCTACACGCGTTGGACGAGATTTCAGTATAACATAGCGTGGTACCACATGCTGTATTTATATAATGCGTTTTCAGTGTAAATATGTCCAGTCAGTCAGATGAGGAGAACGAGGTCCATCCTCTTGTATCGAATTTACTAGGTCAAAAGTTTATACCACGAACCGGACATGTGTTCCGGTACGACAGAGACGAAATGATTCGCTTATCCACTGCGCCACTCAGCATGCAACGTCCTGAAATTCTATCTGTAGATTTCAACGGGTTAGTTATGATTTTATTACGTCATATACATTTTTATTGGTTGCACTAAGGCAATCGTAATTGCCGCCCTGGTGGGCGTGGCGAGCGGCGCTGCGCAAGACGGACGAGTTGCCTTGCCTGGCCGTTTCAATTCGAGCGCTAGGGACGAGAAATTTCGATATCGACTGTAAAGGAGTCTGTCTCCACTTGAATTTAGACCAATTTCGCTAGTTCAGTCGAAGCACGACACGCCGCGCGCGACGACGCGACAAATTGCGATTGTCTTGTCCGTCTGCCCATTTTTATTTTGTATTACACTGCTTCCTTTCTATTCAGCAGTGTAGCTACCTATAGTCATCTATGTGCTTTGCAGCCTATATGCCTAGTTTATGTATATTTAAAGTTCTGAATTGATTCCCCCATTATAGAGATGACGGCAAATTTTCACCGTTCAAATGGTTGGAACACCGATGGGAAGTTGAAGGCATTAAGAATCGTGCACCAACGAAAAAGTTGCAGGACGCATTAAACGCAGGTATCTGTTCACTTTGCGAGTGTTGTATTTCTTCCCGTCAACGTAGAGCCTCTTCATCGCTATTGTATCATCGATTTTTCTTAGCAATGCGCCTGGAACAACGGCGCCGAGATCACTTAGTCGTTTTTTGAGCGTTGGCTTGTTTGGCGCACGGTTCAGTGTTCGATTAGAGCTGTCTCGGTGAACCAGCTGCATCGCTCGGAGAAATTGATCAAATAGCTTTCCATTTTAAGCTCTGGTTGGACTCTCCCGTGACATTCCCTTCGGACTTTGATTTTCAAATAGATGATAGAAAGAAGAGGTTCAGCCGAGGGTATTGTTTTGTTGTTATGGTCTCCGTCACGATCTTAGTCATCCATCCCTTCGATTTGATTCTAAGATCTGGCTTCCCTCCTCTGTTGGAGCGTAAAGAGCTACCCTTCGTTCAACCTTGGAGCTTTTTCCTCAACACCAGCTCTAAAAAATAGACAACCTCATAATTACAAAGGCTTAGATATTCAGCGCCTTCTCTGAATACGGTAGTCCTGTCTGCAAGCATGAAGGATATACTGCTTTGCAGCTTAAAAATACGCGAGGAAAGCGCTGTCCGCTCGAGACCACGACTCCGCCCACTGGCCACAGTGACGCCCACTTTCCCCTTGAATCGGTATAAGTGGTGCGGTTGTTCCACTACCTAGCCCCATTTTGAGTGGCGATGGTGAGGAAACTGTCCTGCGCAAGCGAGACTCGTCCGACACCGCCCTTTCATCTTATGTTCATGCAAGCGCAGTTCAACCTGGGGTTCTATATGGGACGTTTTAAGCGGTTTCTAGTGCGTTTTCTTCACTTCTGTGCTACTTTGCATCTTGTCATTTGTATTTGAGCCACACAAATCACTATTTTCGTACGCAGGCGTGTCTTTTAGAAGATTGCATAGTTTAGTAGGTTGGCACCTCCCCTCTACCCGTGTAATATTTTTTGAACGAATTGAAAGCGCAATATTTTTTGGAAATAGTCCTCAAACAGGTTTCATTTGTACTCAAGTCGGGTGTCTAAGTGGTTTTATCGATTAGTGCTTTTCCTTCTTATATCGGACGAGTTCGCCTCGGTGGGGGCAAGAAGCGCCGAGTGTTTCAAATACAAGGGATGTTTAAATTGAGTCCAAAAAGCATGTGATTCGAGTCTATGTTGATGAATGTCGTCTGATCAGAAATGTCTGCATTCCGTGTCATGCGCTTTGGTCAGGGTTAAATGCTTTGGAAACATTAAACCTGGACCCGAGTCCTTTTTTTTCCATTGTGCAGTAACTATTAGCGCTGTTTGGCTTGGAGGGGGCGTTCATCATTTCCGCCAGTTTCTTTTATTAGTTCTTGTTGACTGATGGGATTCACTGGTCAGGCCTGCAAGCAGAGTACAACATCGTTGTGTGAAACACATAGGGGGGGGGTCGTATTTGGTCGTTGTTGGGAGAGGGGGGGGGTCGTATGTGCCTTTGAGAGAAATTTTCCGTGTCAGGAAAAAAGTTTCCTCAGTTGTTGACTTTTGTTGGTTTTTCCTGTTTCGTACATATTATGTCCCCCCCGGCCCCCTTCCTTGACGTAATTTTTTTGGGGAAAAAACTGGAAAACGTAACTGACACCCTCTCTCGAGTGGGGGGATGTTATACCTACACCATTTCACACATCACGATGCTGTTCTCTGGCTATAAACTGCTGCGAAATTGAGGAAGTGAGCTACTTTAATCACAGGAACTTAAAAGTTATTGCAATGGCCTGTAAAAGCTTGGCTGAGTACGATTCGGTTCCCTCACCAAGCCGAACAGCGCCTGACTTTATTTATGAAAGCATTGTTACAAAACAACTGCTCCTCATCGTAATGTTGTGGTAAAAATCCTTGACGCTGTTCGGCTCAAAGGGGACATTTTACACTTCCGCTGCTTCCCATTGTCGAGTCATCACTTTACAAGGGTTGACAATTAGTTACTACAAACTCTGCTATCACTTCATGGCCTCAAAAGTTTCACAAATCTCTACTTGATAACTCGACGCGACAACGGAAAGCAGCGAATGTTCGAAATGCCCCTCACTCTTAGCCTACTTGCGCCAAATTCTTTTTCATGATCCGCAGATGAGGGTTTTCATGGTGTGCTGAACCCCTTCCTACATTCCTTAGATTATAGGAGCTATGGACGAAAATGCCGGTCTATCACCACAGCGAAGAGGGTTTTCAGGTGGCTGTCGAGCACCCGCGGAGGATAAATCCAAAGAGGGTTCGTTCTCCTTTGTTCACTCACGGCACAGAATGGAAATACCTTGTGGATTGAGATAAGTAGCCTCCATTTTCTTCTTCAATTGTAGGTGTTCCCAGTAGTAGCGGATTCACTAACGAAAGTGGTTGGACTGGTGTTGAACGAGATCGCGAGCGTCTTGGAACGAATACCACCAAGAATTGGCGTGGAGGATCGAATGGTGGGGCTGACAAGTACTCTAGCAAGAGCAGTGACTTCAAGTTACCTTTTGTAAGTGTAATTTGTAAGATTCTTGGGCAGTTGGTCTGTTTGATTTCGATTTATCCTTTACCCAATGTGATATTTTGCAGCAAAGGTCAACTGGAGCGAATGCTCGCAATTCTGGTGGAGGTGGTGCGGGTTCATGGCGTTCAGAAATGAAGGAACGTGGACCCTCAATGAGTAGTGGGAAGTATTCGTCGTCAAAGAATCAAAGGTATTAGGGCTGTTTACTTACTTATTACTTCCATCTAAATAAAAGTGTTTAATGAGTAATCGAAAACTCTTAACGTCTTTGAAAAACTGAAAACAAATCATAGCAAGAAGTGCGTATGGGCTCAAGGATTCAGAGAGTCATGGGGAGCTCAAACATGTTGTGTTTCCCTTTGAAAAGGTGGCGAGCTCATTTGCGAGCGTGACGCATCGCTTAGAACCATTTTTTTTATTAAAGTGTT